GAATGTAGTAGGTCATCAGGGATTTCATGCTTACAGAAAATCTGCATACTGTCCACAGTAAGACTGTATACTGTATGCTGCAGAGCTACATGTCAGCTTTATATCTCTCTTAAGAGGTTAATGAATGTTTTCCTAAAGAAGTCGTGACAGAACGCTGCACCAGACCGCAATAGATCAACATATACACACACGTACCAGTGTCCCGACTGCAGTTTATCTCACGCACACACACACACAAAAGCCATCGATCTCTGCTCTCGCTCCAGCAGACTGTTGGCCATTCAGAGCAGAAGCGAGGCGGCTGTAGATATACTAAAGCCACAAACACTACAGCAGTAATACAGTCAGTTCACTTCCTCACAGGCCCAATGATTGCTTCATTGCAGCACTGATGATAAAGAAAGCTCTGTTTTAGTGGTGGAGCAGCGGAAGAGCAATATCTTTGAAGTGTCTAGGAAATCAATAATCTTCACAAACTCAGCAACTTCTGACCAATCGTTGCACATGGATTTTCACGCACCGCTCTGTCAGTGCAAAGACACTAACATCTTATTTTTCTGAATAGTGCAAGATTGTGACCGCCTCAAAATATCTCCAGCAGATATCTCCAGCAGGATGAACTACAGACACAGAAGAAAAGCTTACATGCACAATGAATGCTGCAACCTGTTAACACACCGCTTACATGATCAGCATGTCAGAAAACACATGCATCGCCTTCTCTTGCATCACCATTCAGTTTTCATTTAATGCATTAATAAACATGTTGCCTATTATATATCCTAATCTTGCACTTGGAACAATTATTTAGATGTAATACTAACTAACATTGAATGGAATGATCAGATTAATGAATCTCTGAGCGTCATTAACCAACATTCCTTTGGGAGTCATATAGATATGAAGCCACTGAAGCTATTAGCTATAATGGGCATGTAATCTGAGAGCATTTACAATTACAATGTTTATGTTTCAAGTTTATTGCCGTTATTTGACTGTTCACATGAGCATCAGGATACATTTTAGTATGAATTTAGGGTGTAAACAACTACTTATGGGCTTTTTTTAGCCCATTTTAAGTCATTTTGAGTCTGCTGATTGCAGTTGCAAAGAAATGCAATTGCACAGCTTTTCGTAATTGCACAAATTGAACAGAATTTTCTGCATCATCTTAATATGAGCAAAATACACTGGATCTTGTGATTACAAGAAAAAAGGTTTTCTTTGGAAGCCTGTTTCCACCACAGGATTAAAAAAGCAAGTCAATCAATAAATAAAATAAAACTGTGACTTCATCTCACAATTCTCACGCTTTTTGCATGATTCTGAAAAAGAAGAATTGCTAGATTTAAAAAAAATTAAAAAAAACTTAGATGTTAGCGCTCAATTAGGAGTGTGCAGTTCTGAGAAGAAAATCAGGGTTGCGAGATATAAACTCGAAACTGCAAGAAAGAGTTATAATTTATATCCTATAATTGATATACTGTATATCCATCCCATAATTATAACTTTTTCCTCAGAATTGTGTTTACGTCTTATAACTTTTTTTCTCAGAATTGAGTTAATATCTTGCAATTCTGAGTTTATCTTACAATTCAGACTTTTTCTCCAAATTTTGAAGTTTATATCTCATAATTATGACATTTGTTCTGAGAATTTAGAGTTTCTCATAACTCATAATTGACTTTTTTTTCTCAGAATTTAGTTTAGGCTATATCTTGCCATTCTGAGTTTATATCTCATACTTATAATTAGTTTCAGAACTGAGTTTATATATTGCAATTCTAAGTTTATATCTCATAATTTTGACTTGCCCCCAAAATTCTGAGTTTGTATCTCATAATTATTACATTTGTTTCTATCTTATGACTTTTTCCTTAGAATTCTGAGTTTATATCTTGTCATTCTGATATTTTTCCTCAACAGTCTGAGTTTCTATCTCATAATTATGACATTTGTTCTTAGAATTCAGAGTTTCTATCTCATAATTGAATTGGTATATCTTGTAATTCTGAGTTTTTTCCTCAGAATTGTGAGGGGGGGAAATTCCAAATAAAATGGTGGCATTGCCTTTTTATTTATTTATTTATTTATTATCCTGTGGCAGAAACTGGCTTCCATAGTTTCCACTAGCCTATAGGTATAGATTCCCATATACTGATTCCCTTATGTTTGACTTATTACCTTTGTTGGTTGGTAAACTTCCTGTAGACGATACAAAAGAAATTCTAACAAAGAAAACAAAGATATTGGCCTATTTCATATTCGAACTTGTCCGCAACCCATTTGACGTTCCTGTGTAATGTCATGATGTCATAACTGATGCCAATCTCAGACAAAGACAAGCCCACAACACCAACAGTGTTAAACTGAGCTTCTGAATCACCCACAGAATGACCAGGATGTGAGACATATATGCTTGCTTCCTCTTTACTCGCCTTCATTTGTGCTCATTGCTGTGGCTTTCTGAAGGGTAAGGCAGCAGTATTTACTAGTGAGTCAGCACATGCCTGGGCAAAAGGGCAGCTTGAACACACACACACACACACACACACTCACTCACTCATATATTATACTCACATTCACGCGGCTCCTCTGACGCCTCAGTGTTTGAAGTCATTCAGAAGTCATGCATTAATAAAACCCATTCAACATCCAAAAGAAACCTCATTCACAAAGGCTGGAAATCTGTCATCATGTATGTCACTTTCTACTCCAAAATCATTAGATTAAAAATAGGAAATTATATTATGAAAGTAAAGGAGCACTGTTTTCAGGACAATAAGCAAATTTTACCCTCAAATTTTCATTACTGAATCAGAATCAGCTTTATTGCCAGGTATGTATATACATACAAGTTATGTTATACAAACATAATCTGTTTTGGTGAACAAATTCCTCATATGTGTAAACATACCTGGCAGTAAATGCAAAAAAAAACAAAAAACATATTACTTGTAATGCATCCTGAGGTTTTACTTTTACTGTTCCATATATTTAAATTATGATTTTCATTAATGTAATACAGAATTTGTACTGTAGTTTCTTAAAACAATACTGCTGCACAATTACTTTTTTTTATTTAAATCATCATAAATTAAAAGAAGTGCCACAATTAATACCATGATGTAAAAATGTTTTTAATAATAAATGATTTTGTTCGTATTACAGTAATGAGATTTGGGGGGCCAAATATCTTTTTATTTATTTATTTATTTATTATCCTGTGGCAGAAACTGGCTTCCATAGTTTCCACTAGCCTATAGGTATAGATTCCCATATACTGATTCCCTTATGTTTGACTTATTACCTTTGTTGGTTGGTAAACTTCCTGTAGACGATACAAAAGAAATTCTAACAAAGAAAACAAAGATATTGGCCTATTTCATATTCGAACTTGTCCGCAACCCATTTGACGTTCCTGTGTAATGTCATGATGTCATAACTGATGCCAATCTCAGACAAAGACAAGCCCACAACACCAACAGTGTTAAACTGAGCTTCTGAATCACCCACAGAATGACCAGGATGTGAGACATATATGCTTGCTTCCTCTTTACTCGCCTTCATTTGTGCTCATTGCTGTGGCTTTCTGAAGGGTAAGGCAGCAGTATTTACTAGTGAGTCAGCACATGCCTGGGCAAAAGGGCAGCTTGAACACACACACACACACACACACACTCACTCACTCATATATTATACTCACATTCACGCGGCTCCTCTGACGCCTCAGTGTTTGAAGTCATTCAGAAGTCATGCATTAATAAAACCCATTCAACATCCAAAAGAAACCTCATTCACAAAGGCTGGAAATCTGTCATCATGTATGTCACTTTCTACTCCAAAATCATTAGATTAAAAATAGGAAATTATATTATGAAAGTAAAGGAGCACTGTTTTCAGGACAATAAGCAAATTTTACCCTCAAATTTTCATTACTGAATCAGAATCAGCTTTATTGCCAGGTATGTATATACATACGAGTTATGTTATACAAACATAATCTGTTTTGGTGAACAAATTCCTCATATGTGTAAACATACCTGGCAGTAAATGCAAAAAACCCAAAAAACATATTACTTGTAATGCATCCTGAGGTTTTACTTTTACTGTTCCATATATTTAAATTATGATTTTCATTAATGTAATACAGAATTTGTACTGTAGTTTCTTAAAACAATACTGCTGCACAATTACTTTTTTTTATTTAAATCATCATAAATTAAAAGAAGTGCCACAATTAATACCATGATGTAAAAATGTTTTTAATAATAAATGATTTTGTTCGTATTACAGTAATGAGATTTGGGGGGCCAAATATGCAATATTATCATGAAAATAATGTTGCAATGAGAAATATATAATAATGGTCCTATAAAATAGACATTTTGTTCATGCAAAAAAAAAAAAAATTTCTTTTGATTTTGATGGTCTTTTATCATCTCGACCATTCATTAAGTCATTTCTGTATCAAGTAAATAAAGTGAATGAAACAATTAACTTAATCATTGGGCAACTGTGATGAAAAGCTTCTCGTATCATATTTCTGAAGACAGCTGCAAAATTTGCAGAAGGACTTCAGCTGCTGAGCAATGCAAGAAAAATAAATTGGTATATTTAGAGGTGACTTGATAATAGTGATCACGGCTGCCCGAACAGATGGAAAAACAAACCCTGAACCTCACCAGAGCTTGACTGCCCAAATGATGCCTTCATCATACCTATCCTTAATGAAAGTGCTAACGAATCACTTCTTAAAGGTATTTCCCATGCAAGCACACCAGCACACACACAGAAGCTGTTCATTTGGCCTGCATGGACTATGTCCAGCTGTCCTGCGTGCAGAACTGGGCCCTTCAATATTTGCTGTTGGCCTGCCAAGATATTCTGCTGCAATGAATCAGTCCGGCACAGAAGCGTTGACCAGCAGAAGGCTCGCTTTCAGGCCTAAAAAAAAAGAATCAATGCAAGATAAAGGCAGCAGTAAACACAGTACTCACTTTCTCTTGTACTCATCCCGCTCCCGTTTGACTTTGGCCAGAACGTTATACAAGGCTCGCAGTTCTGGGGTGACGGTGTCGATTTGGACCCCGACCCCATCCGGATGGGTCCAGGTGACTCCGGGTCCCTGGACAGTCTTGACGCGCTCTCCTTGTCTCAAAATATGCGTAAAGCTCCAGATGTTGCCTGGAAGTCTGGACCCCAGAGAGTCCGTCTGGACCGCGACTTCACGCGTAAAGGAGAAGCCCTGATGCCTCGGCTGGCAGGAGGCTTGCTTCAGCTGGCTCTCCAGAAGTTTGTTCCTTCTCTCCAGCTCATGGACTTTGGCGAGGAAGCAGCGGAACCTCAGGTGATGCTGTATCTGCAGGTAATGTGTATTTGTGCCCTTTTCAGTGTGCCAACAAACAGAGGACAGAAGTGATTAGAAACTCCCTAGAAACTCCCTACAGATGGACTGGAAACACACACACACACACACACACACAGGGTGAGTGCAGGAATTTGGCAACATCGCCCCCTCAAACAAACTCCAGCATTTTTATTTATTCCAGTTTCATTTCTTTATTTCTTTAAACTGCAAGTGTGGATTATTATAATCTGATTTTAAAAAGACACTCTGCCATACTAGCGCTTTAAGTCAACTAATCGTAAAAATAATTTAAAAAAAATAAAAATAACAGCCATACAAGATGCTTCAGGATATTTTATCAATGTTTAATAATGCATTTATGAATCACAAATCATATACGAGCCACAAAAAATATTTTTTGTGATGTTACTGGTGTTTTATCTAAATAAATACAGTTTGTTTTTCTGTAGACTGTTTATTAAGTAAACAATTATTCATAACATTAATAATAATATTGATCAAATATATACTTTTATCTAAATATATACAATTTAAAATGTTATCAATGTTTAAAAATTTGTTAACTATCAATAATATTATTTTGCCAAAACATATGATTGGATTTTGCATCTAAATATATAAAATTGATATTTTAGCAATGTTTGATCATGTATTAACTATATTATAATAATATTAATAATAGCATAAGCCTATTAATATTGATAAAATATAGTATTTATTATTTTGTATCTGTAAATAGGTTTTTAATTAATTTTTTATTATGAAAATATTATATATATATATATATATATACATACATACACACACACACACACACGCATTTTGGTATTAGGTTTTAGGACAATTTTGATGAAAGGTTTTGATTCACTTCAAATGCATGTATATATATATATATATATATATATATATATTTGTTTATTTTCATTTATATATTTAGCATTTATCTGCTTTCTGACTGCAACAAAGTAACATTTTCAGGTTTTGCTCATTGCAAAAACATAATTAGTTCACTGAATACAAATCTGTGATTAATTCAGGCTCATTAATCAGAGTAGAAAGGTTCATACCTTTATTAATATTAATGATCGATATTAAATGTGAAAGGGAGAGCTAGCTCATTAGCAAAGCCATAAATTAAAATCATCAGCAGGATAAGTTTAGGCAAATTAAGGAAGGCGTTGAAGCAATTATTATCACTTTTGCATGTTGCTGCAACACAAGCTCTGTTTGCATTTCACCAAATGACTGATGAATAGAGTCAGACTCATTACACAAGCATTGCACCTTCAACCTGCCCTGGCTTGAAGCTGCTCTGCACATGTGCACAAAACACACCCAGGGATTTCTGAGGATCATCTGTCATTTCCTCAATTGTTTTGATTAGACAGTCCAAGTATGCAAAATCTAAGTTTTTGGGAATGCAGTCATGTCTGCTACAAATCCTTTTATTCAAGTGTTAAGTGCCCACGTGAATCCATGCTTTCTCACACAAATCTATAACAAAAACAGGCAATTCTTCTAATGAGTTTTAGCTGTCTGGGAAAAGGACTTTTTATGGAGACTTCACAAACGTGTTGAAATAATCAGTTCTGGTCGTTGTTTAACAGAAGCAGAAAACTACAAAGAAATGATGTTAAAGTGGGTGCTGCACCAACATTAGGCTACTCATTTAAAGTCAAAAATCATAGTCAAAATCCTGCTTAAGTGAAATGAAAAAGTTTGGATTTCATTTAATTAACTGCCAAAGTCAGGGAATATTTCACTATAAAAAAAATACAGTAGCCTAAACAAAGAAAAAAATGCATAATGCTAAACAATAAATGCATACTGTAAAACAATACAAAAAACTTTAAAAGAAACTTGTGTGTCTTTATTGACTAATACGTTATTATTTTATACAATCAGAAATAAGAGAAAGTTACTGTACAAGCCTACTCATACAGTACGTGTCTTCATGCTGCGCCTCCTGCTGGGTATTTGGAGAAATGTAGCATTACATCACTTGCACACCAATTGGATCCTCTGCAGTGAATGGGTGCCGTCAGAATGAGAGTCCAAACAGCTGCTAAAAACATCACAGTAATCCACAAGCAGCCCACACAACTCGAGTCCGTCAATTAGCGTTTAGTGAAGCCAAAAGCTGCGTGTTTATAAGAAACAAAGTTTTTAACTTCAAACCGTTGCTTCCGGCTAAAATACTCTATCCATAATGTTGCTTTCTTTAGAGAAAAAGTTGTCTCATCTGAATCAGGAGAAAAATATGCAAACACCAAGCACTGTTTACAAGCCAAAACAGTTGTAAACAAACATGTCCGTGGACTTTATGACTGGAGGAAGTGTTATTATAGATGATGGACAGGTATTTTGATCAGAAGAAACAGTTAAAATGTCTAAATCAGTGGTTCCCAAACCTGTCCTGGAGGACCCCCTGCTCTGCACATTTTGTATGTCTCCCTTATCAGACACACCCAATTTAGTTCTTGCAGTCTCTACTAACGAGCTGATGAGTGGAGTCAGGTGTGTTAGATAAGAGAGACATACAAAAGATGCAGGGCAGGGGGGCCTCCAGGACAGGTTTGGGAACCAGTGATCTAAATGATGGATTTATTTCTTAAAAAAACACGCTTTTCATTTTATAAAACATTAATCAATAGACTGGAGTGGTGTGGATTATTGTGATGTTTTTATCAGCTGTTTGGACTCTCATTCTGACGGCACCCATTCACTGCAGAGCATCCATTGGTGAGCAAGTGATGTAATGCTACGTTTCTCCAAAACTGTTCTGATGAAGAAACAAACTCAACTACATCTTGGATGACCTGAGAGAGAGAAATTTTCAGCAAAATTACATTTTAATATAACCAAAGCTGCATCTTCAATCAGAAGAGGATAGGTGTATTGTAAATTGCACTAACTAAACTATTATCACTCCATCTGCAGGTGTGGTGACACTAATAAAGGATTTTGAAGTGTGTAAAGAGGGAGACACACTCACACCTGAACAGGCTCGAATTCTGGTGAGTTTGTACCACTAATACACTGCAAAAAGTCATAATAACATATGCAATGATGCTTTTAAAATGAATTAATTTGTAAAATATTTTACCTGGAAACCATGACAAAAAAGACTTGTTTAAACTTTAAAACAACCTGCTGCAGTGTTTATGCACTAGCAGACATGACGTCTCTTTATTTGGATTAAAATCCATTTAAGAAAAGTTAAAAAGGTCAGAAACCAATTTTGATTTTAAAAGGGATTTATTCAGTTATTGTAAGTTATTCAGTCATTTTTTTTGGACTTTCAATTCAGAAACTGTTTGGAACTGAAATGGTGGAATTCAAAATATCAATTAAGTGCATGTGGAATTCTGAATCCGGAGACTTCGAAAAGCTGACGGACGGTGACAGCAATGAGACCAAGAAAGAGGAAACGGATGAAGAGGGAGAAGGAAGCGAATAAAACCTGGACACAGGCAATGGACTCTTTTTGTGAACATTCATTGTGTCGATCCAACATAAAACCATGAAACGTTTTATTGAGTGTTCTTTCAGTGAGCTGCGCATTACTATCACAGTCATCTGCACACTGTTTAGTTTCTATTGTCTACAATTTTCTACAAAAATACAAAGTTTAGTATGACTACTGAACGGAGAGAAACGAACGGAGGCAAACAGGGGATCTCTTTTATTCTTATTGTTAAATGTAAGTTATTTTAACAAGTTTTTGGCAAGACAACAAAACAGTTATTCATCAAAATGCCACTATCACATTGATTTGTACTGCATTCTCATGTAAACATGGAGAAAAATCAAGTGTTGGTGAGCTCAGAGATGTTTCATTTTGTCATTGTGTTTATTAGGATGCCGAAGGCTGGTCCAACTCAATTGTAACTGTTCACTCACAAAATATGAACACAGAAAAAATAAAGTGATCTCTGTATTAGTTCTTACAAATTAGGCTTCATATCGTTTTATTCTCTAACTGTCACGGGGCATCTAGCGGAAGTAGTTTGGACACTCGTGGGCCACTAAATCCCAGGCGTGTTTGAGCGGACTTTCTGCGGCTGCTGTCAGGTTCTCATGCAGCTGCTCCATGCTGGACATCCCGATGATTACCCTGTAAACATACACGTCAAAACATTGAATCTGCCATTTTGTCCGACAAACAAACTAGAGAGGACAGTAGATTAACTTGGGTGGAATTGAACTTGAAAAATGGTGTGTACTGGCGTCTTTTCGCAGTTGAAACAAGATACCCTTCTGATGTTCATTCATGTTTATTTCATGGTGTAACTAGTAAATAGGAATCGATCAGTCACGACACATTAAAGAGCCACAAAAATGGCATTTATTGTTTGAATTTCTGAAAAAAATGACCAAATTTGAAAGCCGAGACTGTTTCACATGAAAACGAACCTGTATTTTTTCACTGCGTGAGAACATGTGCGGCATGAGTGCCATGGTTTGTCGGACATAGCAACAGTAACAAAGGGCGGCAAGTCTTTGCGAAGGGTCAATTGAAATGAAATATTTTACGAAAATAAATACGATAATTTCTTAGCAAAAACTATACTAGTATAACAATGCCACTAAAATAGCTGCTCTCACCCTCAGATGAGAGTGATGGTACATCCAGCGAATAGCAGCTGATGTCAGGGTGGGTTTCTCTGAGCCGTACGGTGCTTCCAGAGCCTTCTGAATGCCATCTATGCCTTGGAAATGACTCTCCTTCCAGTATCTGAAATAGAAAAACATGCAACACTAATCACATCTTAAAGGTGCTGTATGTAAGTTTTTGACTCTACTAAAGCATAAAAATACCATAATATATTTGCAGATATTTAAGAAACATGCTAAGTTAGCATACTTGTTTATCTGAAAAACAATGCTACAGTCAGTTATTCTCCTTTGAAAATGTGTGTTCCAGGCCGGAATGTCGGTCTCTGTTTTTGTTTGTGAAACCCACCCACTGCCAGTTTACCCAATTGTATTTCGGCACCCCGGGTTGCCAGTTGGCAGAAAATACAGTGCATTTAATTTCATTCATCGTCAAGTGCGCTCGTTCCTGTTGGTGTTGTCAATCTGGCAACCTGCGTTTGCATCAAGTCTGAGAAGGAAGGGCCCGGTGAAAAAACCATCATCGTCAAGTGCGCTCGTTCCTGTTGGTGTTGTCAATCTGGCAACCTGCGTTTGCATCAATTCTGAGAAGGAAGGGCCCGGTGAAAAAACCAGCTCCAATATTTTGAATTTGGACTGCAATACCTAGTTCATCCACTCGGTGTCAATCCTACATACAGCACCTTTAATGCTCAACTAACTAGATCTAAACTCTGAGGTCACACAGGACTGAAAAAAGCCAGTCAGTGATGTGAATGTCATGCATGGATTATGAATTGAATGCACCTGTCTCTGTAAGTACCTGCCCAGCTGCTCCTGAAGAATCGGCCCGCAGGCTGAGCGCCGTCTTTATCTTCATAGTGATATTTTCCAGTCAGAAGCCCACCTGTGAGATGAGCGGAGAAAATGATTTTACTTGGGATCAGTGTATTTTTATTGTATATATTTTTTTATCATTTACAATTAAGCAAGTTTTCAAATTAAACAAAAAAAAATGTGCAAAAACATAAAATGCTAGTTAAGAAATTAGCCCAAGAGACCATTTCATTGCAGAATTAATGATTTTAGATGGCCAAATAAGTTTTCTTTAAAGAATTTAGTGTTATTTTATGTATTGTTTCATTATAATATATTTTATTATTCAATTTTTGTGTGTTTTTGTTTACATTTTTGTTTATTATTATTATTATTTATTTATTTTATGTATTGTTTAATCATTTAATTATAATATACATATGTTTATGTTTACAGACTTTTATGTTTATTATTATTTGTTTATTTTATGTATTGTTGAATCATTTAATTATAATATAGATATGTTTATGTTTACAGAATTTAAAATGTTTCGTTTATTATTATTATTATTTGTTTATTTTATTTAATGTATTATCCTAATTTAAATTTAGAGTAAATATTATTATACAGCATGTTAGTTAACAAACAAACAAAAATGGAGAGGAAATTAAAAAATGACAAGCAATGCAAAATATACAGTACATAGTAGTTTAGTTCTTGTTGACTTTAGGTCTGTTATTAATTAGGAACCAATTTATTATGTTTTGCAAATACATTTAAAACAATAAGGAACGCATTACCTGCCAGGGGATTGTATGCATAGAAACGGATGCCAAAGTATCTCAAACATGGCAGCAGCTCAGTCTCCACCTGTCGTGTGGTTGCATTATACATGCCCTTCAGAGGAAAACATCAACACTGTTCAAAACTGGCCTATTCGTTCTTCAATAATACTTCATTGACAAATTTCTAAATAGTTATACACTAGACCTTGTATACAGACTAACATCCATCCATGCATCTATCCACTTACTTGATATACAGTAGAAAGCACCCAGGTATTGTGTTTGCAGATGAAGTAGATTTCTGCCACTTCCCATGATGCATAGTTCGATAAGCCCAGCTGTTTGAATTTGCCCTAAACACCAACAAACAGCTTGAGTTGCATAATTCTGACAGCTTTTGTTTTCTAAAAACATCTAGGTCAGACAGCCATAAACTATCAATAACTCACCGACTGTCAGGCATTTCTCAAAGTGCACGTCTGACGGACAAAGTCTAGTGTCTGTAGTGTGTAGAGCATGGAAAGCTCTCGTGATGCACCTCTTTATGCAGCTGGTTGCAGGCCTGTAGTGTGTCCTGAATGGGCTTCTGGTGGTCCGGCGCGTGAAGGTAAAACAGCTCCACACTTTGTGTGCACAGTCTTATCAGAGACGTTTCCAGCTGATTCTGGACACTTTCTGGTTTGAGTGTCTTTCCCTCCCAGGGGTTTGCTTTAGTCGCGATTCGAACTGATAAACACAAATGAAATGAAAGCACTGAACTTGATCACAAACACACTCCCCTTTTAGACCTTTATTGTTTCAACATACTAATATTTTGATTTAATTTTTTTATTTTCCCATTTTAATGTTTTAGTATTTGTATCGTTTTTAAATGTCTATAACAGGGGTGCCCAAACTCGGTCCTGGAGGGCCGGTGTCCTGAAGAGTTCAGCTCCAACCCCAATTAAACACACCTGAACCAGCTAATCAAGCTCTTACTAGGCATACTAGAAACTTGAAGGCAGGTGTGTTGAGGCAAGTTGGAGTTAAACTCTGCAGGACACCGGCCCTCCAGGACCGAGTTTGGGCACCCCTGGGCTATAACGTTTTTATAGATTTTTATTTCAGTTTTAGTTTTGTTATTTTAGCACTTCAAGTTAAATGAAATGAAAATGAGAAATAATATATTTCTATTTGAATATTTTAATTTAATTTAAATTTTTTAAATAATTTCAATTTTAGTTGGAAATAAGAAATATGTAACAATCACAGACATGAGTGAAAATATCATGTCATGTATTATTATTATGTACCTCATTTTGCACTGTTTCTTGATATTTTTAAATTCCCTCCAGCATATTTCTACTTATTTGTTGGCACTTGATATATTATTTAATATGATTTGTCTCTGAATTAAAATAATAAGAACACATTTAAAAAATATTAGAATTGTAATAAAAAAGTATCATACAAAATACTATACAATATTAATTCAAACAGAATGAAATACTGTCTGCTCCTACTAATTATTTATTAATAAATATAATAATAATAATAAATTATTATTTACTTATTTATTATTGCTTAGTATTTTAATGTATTGTTTTTATTATTAATAATAATAATGACTATTATCATTATTATTATAAATAAAAATAATAGAATACATACATTAACATACTAAAAATAAAATAAACAAATATCAAATGCTACACAATATTAATTAAACAGAATTAAATACTACTACTACTACTAATGATAATTATTATTATAAATAAAACAATACAGTAAAATACTAAGCAATAATAAATTACAATTAAATCATAATTAAAATAAACAATATAATAAAATTAAAAAAAAATGCATTTCTTAAAAAAAAAGGAACTGGTCATCCAAGTAACGTTATTTGATCAATTTTACGCACAGGCCTAATACACACTGCAGAAATACTACCATCATTATGGAAGTATGCTAATACATAAACTGCTTATTCTTTGACTTTACAAATCAACATGTCACGTGATCTTTTCACTCCTGTCTGTGGTGATCAGTCACTAGTGTCGGGGGTCTGGGTCTGGTCTGGGTCTGGGTCTGGTCTGGGTCTGGGTCTGGGTCTGGGTCTGGGTCTGGGTCTGGGTCTGGTCTGGGTCTGGGTCTGGGTCTGGTCTGGGTCTGGGTCTGGTCTGGGTCATGCTGCGCAGTTGACTGAAGCGTGGTGTCGTGAGTCTGGGGAGAAATGCGTGGTGACAGCGCACTGCATAGTTAAGCTCCTGTAGCGCAGACAGTAGACATAATACATACCTAGACGCCTCATTGGCCGCTCGACTGCACGTCAACGTCGCCGCCATATTGGTGCGGGCAACTCTCCACAACTCATATCAGGACAGAAGAACACATACCTGACTCGTCGGCAGCTTGGGCATCTACAAACCGCCACACAATAATACAAACATACCTCAGGGTATCATCTTTCACAGGTAAGCCTGAACAGTTGTTTCTGTATGCTTTTTGGTCATTTTTAGCTTTATGTTGACAGCTCAATTAGCCACCAGTGTCAGACTATTAATAGCTAGCGATATCCTAGTAAGCTGTGAAAGCTGAGACTTTATATGAAATCAAAGTTTAAATGAATTCTTAAGTTTGAACTTGATATTGTAGTTTATATCATAAAGTGAATTGTGTTATGAGCACAATATGTAGAGTGAGAACACTTTGACAAGACAATGCCAGACTGTCAGGATTCGGGATGGAGCTAAAGCATCTCTCTTTAATTTCACTAACGTTACTTACTTACAAAGAGTACGTTTATCATCACTTGATTATAAGGAGTTCATAGCTTATCATAAATCTGTGGACTTATATATATATATATATATATATATATATATTTTTTTTTTTCCTTTTTAGCCAATTGCAAACAGGACAACGCAAGCCTTAAGGAAAGCTGAAGAAAGGCTGTTCTCTGCATTATTAGTTCTCTGAGAGCAGGCTATACTTCCACAGCCTAATGTTGTATTAGTACTGGTTACAGCCCAGAATAGCCCTGAATGAATGGCCAGAATTACCCTGCTCATATTCTAACCACCCCCTTACTTGTTTCTTACTTTGTCTAATAATTATTACACAATACTATTATAAAACTACATTTCATGATGATTTATTTTACTTTACAATTTACTATTAATTTATTCTTCATTATTCCACCCTTGATATTACATATTCTACGTGCTATTATTCATCTATTGTTATTCGTTTATTTATTTTGGTATAATATACATATAATTTAGTCTATTATATACCGTTGTACTCGCTTTTTATATTATTCACTTTACTACAACTTGTACTACATACTGTATACTTTTTAATATTGCATATCACTTTTACTGTGTGCTGTATCAGTGCATAATATTTTACCGCTGTAAGTTTTACTGGATCCATAAAGGATCATCAGTTGCATCTGTTATTGTTTGTTGTGGAGTTTATCTGTATAGAGTGCTATCAGAATAAAAAGCAGACTACCAAGAGTGTCACTTTTTGATTTGTATTCGCTGGTTTTATTAAATGTTCTCACTGATGGTAAATGATTAGTGCTTAAAGGTGTATTATTTAGATGTTCTTCCAGTGTTTCAAAGGGGCTGAGCGGTGTTCTGACCTGAAGCACAAGAAAAGCTCAAATGTTGGGGTTGAAGAAGACCGAGAAAGCAATGAAACAACTTAATTTCATTTAATGTACATTCAAACTACAAAACATGTATATGACACAGTTATGCTACATTAACATTAGAATTGTAAACCGAAAAAATCAATCAAATCAACAAGTGTGAGTTTTCACAATTTCTCACGAAAATTCATAATTTTCCAAACCTAGCTAAATAACTGGAGGCAGAGTTATTTTTAACTCCATGTAGATCACAGACCTCTGAAATCGGTTGATAAATGTAAACGTTATTGTGTTTTTATCCAGAAAAACCGCAGCTCCTCCGTTCACCTGCATGTATTTATAAGGTAGTCTTGCCCTCACAAACATGGCGGACGCGTCGAAGTAACGCAGCAACGGCGGAAAGCGGCCAATGAGGCGTCTAGCTATTTATTATGTCTATGGCGCAGACAGTAGAGCCAGGGCCTGAGGGACCGTCGCGAAAGCGTCGACATTGTGCGTAAACGCAGAGGTCAGAGCAGACGAAAGCCATTGGTCAGCACAGGGAGGTGAACTTTTGAAGGTTCATATTTTGTCTCATCAAAATAGCGTTGCAGGTTTTCCAAGTATTATTTACCATTCTTTCAAGCACATGCAATTCCCATTGTGACCTGAAGATGTCAGCAGAATACAAATAACGCATAAATCAGTAGTGGACCAAACTTGATATAAATGTTTAAGGAAACCCGTATTTTAATCACCTTTTGGCCTTTATTAGTTCATTTTAATGGTGTAGTACAGCAGTTCTCAAATAGGGGGCCTCAGCAAACTTCCAGACTGGGCCAAATAGGCTAAGACTTCAAATACTTACATTTATTTATATTGACACCATTTTAATTACAATTCTATAAAACACTACAAATATAAATGTTCGACGCTACAATAACATCATATTTCAAATGTTATTTTATTTAAATATTTATAGTCTAACCTGATATTTCATTGGAGGTGCTTGAAGAAGGGGACCCAAATGGACAACTGCTGTAGTGTGGAAAAAAAAGAATTCTTAAAAGCATAAATATCAAGCGCAGTCTCTCAACATGAGATGATATTGTCAAAGTCTGTTATATACAGAATATAGTCACGTAAAACTGTTTGACATGTCATGTCAGGTACTCAAATACAGTTGGGTTTTCAAATTACATCACTGATGCATCACAGTTTTGCACGTAATTATCATAAGCCAATGATTATTGTTTATGATTTCAGGTAATATTAAATCTAGCGTTTAATTATTCTTATAAGAGTAAATGCACTCTTCAATAAAATGACAATAATGCACTCTAAAAAATGCTGGGTTAAATACAAGCCAGTGCTGGGTACAATAGGGACAAACCCAGCAATTGGGTTGTTTTGACCTTCGATGATCCAGTTCAAGCGTACTAATAAGCACAGATTACTCTAGACAACATTTGTGTGTCTTTTTTTATTGCTGAAGTGTGTTGAAATGTCTTCTTCTGCATTCTACTGTACTTTCCCTTCAGCCTGAGGCTTATTCATTTCACTTTTGGTCTGAAAAGGCTTTTATATTTGCCAAAAATATAACTTTTTTATTTTAAAAACAAACAAGCAAGCCCTGCCCAGATTTAAAAAGTAACGCAAAAGTGACGTAACGCATTACTTTCCATAAAAAGTAACTAAGTAACATAATTAGTTACTTTTTCATGGAGTAACGCAATATTGTAACACATTACTTTTAAAAGTAACTTTCCCCAACACTGTTAATAACATATTTTAATTACAAATGAGTATGACGATAGTATTGCAAATATTATCAGCAGAGCAAATTGAGTAAAAGAATACATTACGGGTTTTAGTTGGATGTTCATCTGACATTTTTCTTAAATGTTATTTCTTGTTTTAGAGTGTTTAGAAAACATTTAAAACATTTCCACAATGTTTGCAAAAATGAGAAAATGTAATGTTCTCTTAATGTTTGCATAACCAAGGAAAACCATTTTTAAAACATGAAAACTGGATGTTTTGAGTGGAAATAATGTTTTTATAACTTAATGGAAACTTTAGCAAAATATTTTTTTAAATTATTATTATTATTATTATTATTATTACAAATTAGATTGATGATACATTTTGAGTAAAAGTGAAAATGCTATGTTATTACATGTTAAATAATTAAAATATACTCGTTAATTAAAATTCAAATTAGTGCTTAAATATCATAAACATAATATTATATTAAGTATTATAAATGATCTAATAAACTATTTATTATATAACAATTTTATTACAAACAGATCACTTTGGCTAACATTCTGGCAAAGTTATGCAGAAACCGTCTTCCAGTATCATTCATAAAACATTCATTCAATGTTGTCTGGTCTTTAATAACGTTACAAAACGTTAGCACTTATACATTGTTCATAGAACGTTTTTAAACGTGCGGACAAACGTTTTCATTATTTATGCTTTAACTTTTTATTTGCAGTTTTAAATAATAAATAAACACTGATGTTTTTATATGCGCACTTAGACTTGAATATAACCCATCATGGCTCTATTGCTGGTCCATTAGAAGGTGTGAACATTAAAACGTGAGTTCATTACAAAATGACCTTCATTTGACTCTGAAATCTGTCTAATAAAGGGTTTTCCTTTGAATTGGGCTCTTTGAAGTGATGCAGTAAATCAGGCTGAAGTAACGAGCTTTACGCTCATTTGTAAGTCATCTGAAGGAGGTTCAGTCAGCTCTTCAGCTGCCTTTGCTTGTTTCTGTATGTGTCTCGTTCCTCTCAAAGGACATTCCCTTCACTGCTTCTACAGGAAGACAGTGTCCTGAGGGCATTTGGATCTCGGTTGGTGTCTAAGGTGGATCTGAGAGTCTTCTTCCTCCTGTCATCTGCTGCTGCGCTTTCAGTCCGCGCTCTACGCGCGTTAATATGGACGCAGAATAGTTTGTTTTAACGCTTTAAGTGTGTTATTTAGGGAGCATGGATATGTTATTTTACTCTTTAATCATTCTAATTCATGGAATTTATGCAGCATCCCGTTCTGGAAAAAACCTGATGCCTCACATGTGAGTAACTGTCTTTGGTTGATATTGCGCCCGCTTCAGAATATTCTTATTAGGTACTAGTTAGCTTTCACAATAAATTAAGTGTTTAATGAACGAATTTACATCTCATGTTCGTGCTCATATTTATTAAGTTATTTTAATTAAAGCAAACTAGAAAAGTTTTTATTCATTTGGGAAACTCTCTTTGACGCGTATTTACGCGTATTTTTGGTGAACTTGTGAGACGCTGGTTGAGGGTCAATCGGAACGTTCTCAGAATACTTTGGCTAACGCTCTGGTAAGGTTCAGTAACTTTAATAGCTCGTCCGTTCAAAGTTGTCTAGTCTTTAATAGCGTTTTAATAACAGAAACGTTAACTTGAACTTCATTCATGGAACGTTTACATCTTTTTAAATGTTTTTACTTCCTAGTTCTCAGAACTTTGGCTAACGTTCTGGAAAGGTTGTTTCAAAGTTATGAACAAACGTTCTTCCAGTAATGTTAATAGAACGTTTTGTTCAAAGTTATCCGGTCTTTAATAGTTTCTTAAACCATTAGCACAAAAACATTATTCATACTGGACATTTTGAATGGTCAGAGTACATTCAGAAATAATGTTTTTAGAACTTATTTGTTAGCTGGAAAGTTTGGAGATCACTCAAAAGTAATGTTCACAAAATGTTTGCAAAATGATAAAATGGAACACTTGGCATTCACATAATCAATAAAAAAAATGTTTAAAAAAAACAAAACTGGATGTTTTGAATGTCTGGAGAACATTCAGAAATAATATTTTGAGTGGTTAACAGAAATGAGTGATTAACAGAAATGACACAGACAAAACACACTTTCAGGTCTCTGTAACACAATCTGCCAATAATCCCAGACATGAAACTAATCGCCTGGAGGTTCACTCTGAACTGCCTATGTTTGAGGATATAAAACATTTTTACAGAGTGACTAATATATCAGTCTAGGAACTTGAGCTGTGTAAATCGTCAATCTTGTCATCTGTAAGTGCTGAGATGATTCAGGTGATTTATTGGCATTTGCTTATTATATTAATGATCACTATTGCTCAATCTGACATGGAGCGTCTAAGTAATTGACAGTCTTACAACTTTATTAAAATTACATGGAAGGACTGTTGAAAATTCCAGCTGTTTAAATGATAAATATTTATGATCCTCTATGTTTGGATTGGTGTGACTTAGTGGTCTAATATCTGGGCTTGTAACCAAAATGTTGTAGGTTCTTCTTCAAGACGTTTCACTTCGGCTTGCTCAACGAGAACTGAACCTGCAGGTTAACTGAAGTGTGTGTTTTATCTCCAGGCCAAATGTGTGTGCTGAGCAGGAGGTGAAGCTTGTGGCCCAGATGCAGCCGTGCGTCCAGGCCTTCACGCGGATGGTTAAATCCTGGAAACAGGGATGCCAGGGACAGTCGTGGTGCATGGGCTACGAGAGGAGGTGGGTCGGATATTAACGCATAGAAAACATTGACTGCACAAGCATCTTTATGTAAAAATAAACTTAGTGTCTGATAAGTGAAAATCAACTGCTACTCTTACCATTTCTGTAGTATATAGCATGCATATTACGTGTAGTAAGCACACTTTCGACATAAATGTGATCTATTCCGAATGTTTGTAGAAAGAAACAGAAGCACCAAACACAATCTCTTTTTGATTGCACTGCCAAAAGTAAAGATATTTTTAATGCAAACCTGTATTAAAAATGTAAAATAAGCATTTCTGATACATACTACAATGATGTAGGGATTTTTATTGTTGCATACTGTTTGACGTATTTTTAAAAAATAGTGCACAGTATATGCATTTGTTCAAATCTTTATCCTTAAAGTCACGCGGCAACAATGTAGTGTAGTTTTGTTTGAAATGCTTATTGTTGCACACATTTGAACATATTAAAAAAAAATAGTATGCACTATATGCTGTGCGGCTTGCATTTGTTCGAATCCTTGTCCATAATGTCATGAGACAACAGTGAAGTGTAGTACTTTAGAAATGTTTATTGTTGCATAATCTTTCACATACTTTTTTTTTTCCGTTTGCCTTGTGCACTCCACACTATTCCCTTCTGAAACATCAGAAAAGGTTATTTTCTTCTCATGCGTTACCTTTGTTCTCTAATCCGACTCTTTTAAGTGTAAGGTGTAGTTACGCGCTTGATGAAAGCAGCAATTTGACAGGCATCTCCAGAGGGTCTCGCAAGACAGAAGGCAAAGGCCTGTGCTCACGCTTTGACAACCCTCCCCTCACAACGGCTCTGTATACTTAGCATGTGAGAGACCCAGGCCCTGCAATTAGGTGCTATAAACAAAGGGCACATGGTTACGACTCTGGAGCAGAGATGCAGGACTGTAAACTACAGGGAGCGGGAAACTCTGGATCTCACGTTCACAGAAAGCATCATTAAAGGGTGGATAAGAGAGAAGTGTCGCTGATTACAGGCTCATAAGTTTGTGTTTTCACACATCGGAGCTCATCCACAAACATTAGTCATGACCTGATCTCTCATTCACTGACTAACCACAAACACACACCTAACGGCCTTTAATAGCTCACAGAGAGAAAAAGGGATAAACGCTAAAAGCGGCTGATGACAGACTTGCGTGTGTACTCATAAAGAAAGTTTTTTTGGGTCTTAGTCTTTACCTGTTGGCCAAATGGAAAAACAAATTAAAAACCATGCATACTTTCTTTCTTTCTTTCTTAACGATAGACTGGTTTCTTTTATGATGCATGTAGTGTGTAACAAATAGTTTTGTGCTGTTCAATATGCATTTTTTTGGCTTCTTTTTTTCTTTAAACAGTAGTTTACTGAACAAATTGTTGCTCTGTCTTTAAATAAATTCTATTATAATACTTATAATTACAGTTTTCTTAGGGATAAAGTTAGTGCTGGGCGGTATACCGGTTCATACCGAATACCGGTGTTTATTTTTGTTATGATATACATTTTTTAAATACCGCAATACCGGTATTTATGTATATATATTTATGTATTTATGTGTATGTCGCTTAAACAACGATCGGAACGTGACACTGTTTGAAAGGGGTCCCTTTTCACTGTTGCACTGTGGTGAGGGAACAGCTGTATGTGTTACTAAGCGTGAAAGTTCTGAAACTGAAGCTGTAGAACTAATAGAACGTGATGACACAGAAGAACTCATTCACAATATCCACATTGACCACCACAAATATCCACCGCCCCCTGCCATCAGCTCTCGCGTCTCACACACACGAGCGCGACTTTAGCACTAGATTGAGCAACTTTCAGATCCTTTTAGTTTGATTTTATCAGACGATGCCGCGATCATAAATGAGAGTGACTCCTGGTTAACATGTATTAAAAGGGGTCGTGTTTAGTCACTATTTAGTGTGGTATTTTTTGACAATATTCACTCATCATGACAGTAAAATAGGGTATTCTAAGTCAATATACTGCAGTATTTCCTCTCTCAATCAGTAGAAAATATGGTTAACACCCGGTCATGCATGAAAAAAAAAATACCGTCATGTATCGTGAAACGGGTATAATTTTGAAAAATACTGTGATATAAATTTTTGGTCATACCGCCCAGCACTAGATAAAATCTACCTCAGCTAATGCTGCAAGCTATAGGGAGCCCTATTGCTATAATATTAAAAGTTACAATTAACAGCCCAAACTGTTCAATTCAATTGCCGTTTATTTTTTTAGATATAATAATCAACACTTAAATAAAACAGTTGTATGCAAACATGTAAATTGCACATATGGCAGTTTTTACATTAATTATAACATTTCTATTCATTGTTGAAATAGAATCAATTAAATAGGGTCTGTCATAACTTGTTTTCATGACAGATTTATTTAAACATACAATAAATACTTAAGACATCACTAACAGGTTAAGTAAAACATAATGAATATATAGGCTATTATTTAGCTAAATCAGAGTTGCCAAGTCTATATGTTTTCCCGCAGAATTAGGCTACTTTTACACTTTTGCCATGTGTTGTTTTTTAGGACGAGGGTTAAAGGGATAGTTCACCCAAAAATGAAAATTACGCCATGATTAACTCACCCTCAAGCCATACTAGGTGATTTCTTTCTTTCAGATGAAAGTTATATTAAAAAATATCCTGGCTCTTCTAAGCTTTATAATGGCAGTGAATGGTGGTCCAGATTTTGAAGCAATGTAAAGTACGTCCATCCATCATAAAAAAGTGCTCCACACGACTCAAGTGGGTTAATAAAGGCCTTCTGAAGTCAAGCAATGTGTTTGTGTAAGAAAAATATCCATATTAATAACGTCATAAATCGTAATCTCTGGCTTCCACTAACTGTTGTACGCACATTCACAAGCGAATGGCAGAGGGGAAAACCAAGGAAAAAAACATAATTGGAGTAGTTTTGATTAGCAGTTAGTTTGGTTTTGTTTCGCAGACCTGGCAACCTTCAAATGCTCTTCTCTAGAGTTAATTTATCTTACAAACAAACGAGCTGTGGACACTAATGACTTGCCTGAGATAAATGTAATGCTACTTGACATTTTGTTTACAAGCTGTTTTACTGATATCTTTCCACAGTTGAAAGACTGATTGAGCTATTATATAAAACATGAGATGTACATTCATGTTTTTATTGTGTTATAACTAGTAGTAAAGAAGAAGGGATGATCGCTTTCACTCGCTGTTTAACCTGAGGTGCCTACAGCGATCTGTCACGCTATGTCAAAGAGTGTCAAAACGGCATTTATTGTTTGAATTTCCTCAAAAAATGGATAGGATTTGAAAGATGAGACTTATTCTCATCAAAAGCAGCAATATATAAAACTGGAAGTTTCAGATTAAGTTCTGCACATACAGTGGTTAAAAAAAAAAAATATATATATAATGTATGTATTCATTGTACCATACAGTCTGACAGAAGGTCATTTTTGCAGTTAGAGGGTGAGTGTGTAGGACAATATTAAGAACATAGAAAGATTTCTTCCTTTTTTCCCCACAGAATGGCTTACTATACTGCATACAGACAGGTGTATCGACAGGAGCACCAGACGGTTTACAAGTGTTGCCCAGGATGGTCACAGCTCAACGGGGAGGCCGGATGCCTATATCGTAAGTCTTCTTAAAATGCCACGCTATATAAGATCACAGTATTTACTGAAAAAGTGCACAAATGCCCTTGTGTTAAGCATGTACCTATGAGCGTCAATGATATTTATAAATCTATATTTATGATCATTTTGAGGCCGTTTTTTGGACAGTGAATGCCTGATTATGCAGCTATAGAGGAGGTACAGATGGAGTTAGTGATTAAAGGGGTCATATGATGCTACATGCACTTTTACAAGTTGTTTGAACTGAAATGTGTGTTGGCAGTGTGTGTACACAACCACCCTAAAATGATATGACCCTTTCTCAAATCGAGCCGATCTCAGATGACGTCACACAGACAGGCACCTCCCACAATAGGTTGATTGACAGTAGCGTTTCAGCACAGACTGGACTGGCGTCTTACCTTAGACCCACCCTGAGTGAGCTGTCATCAGTCCGCCATTGCTTCACCACTGAAGCAGATGTAGACAAGAATGACTCCTAAGCGATTGAGGTCTTCTGTTGTTGGATGTAATAATGAACATAGCAGTCGTTGTTTACTCCCGACATCTGAGCCGCTGAAGATGCAGTGGATTACGTTTTTTTTTTAGAGAATGTGCCCCCGATCTACCTAAATGCATCTATGTTCGCGCGAATCATTCGTGATCCAGCTTCACCTACAGAAGGAGTATAAAGTGTTTTTAATGAATCTTTGCAAATCGCCTTTCCTAATAATGTGCTAATTAGCAAGTTTCACGACGAATGCAGCTAAAGTAAACAGTCCCTCAGAGAGCAGCTTGGACGAGAGGGGCGGGGTCAGCAGAGCTCATTAACATTTAAAGGAAAATGCTACAAAATTGCGTTCTCTGAAAAGGTGTTTTTTACACTACCATTGAGAAATTTTAACCAAACTATGTTACAGACTTTTCATTAAGACCCTAAAGAATCATATCAACTTGTGGAAAATGGGCATCCTATGACCCTTTTAAGAGTTTCATGCTCCAGGTAATTCATTTTACTGTGGTGTAAATGTGTCCAGATTATAGATTAGAGAGTGTTTCAACTCTAACATGAAGGTTCATGTTTTTTTTTTTTTTGCATGTTTGCGACTGTTAAACCGTGAACTAGTCACACATTCCATTCCATCCCACCTGTCCACTGTGGAATTAGGAAATTAGTATCAAGATTTGCTGTAATCCTCTTACTTGTGGATTCTGATTTGCTTTATGGGTTTGACTAGTGTCAGTGCTTTATGGTGACTTACCAGGGTGCAGACTGGAGAAAAATGTGCACAGATTAGTTGCACCACTTGTAGTGTGGACTGGTGTGGTTGCTTACTATTCAAACTCTCTGAAATGTGCCGTTCTTTTGAAATTTCTATTCATCAAAGAATCCTGAAAAAAAAAGAATATCATTAAACTAAAATATTTAGCAGCACAACTGTTTTCAATACTGAAAATAATAAGAAATGTTAATTGAGCAGCAAATCAGCATATTGGAATGATTTCTGAAGGATCACTGAAGATTGGAGTAATGATGCTGAAAATTCAGCTTTGCATCAGGAATAAATTAAAACAGTTATTTTAAATTATAATAATATTTCACTGTTTAGCTGTATTTTTGCTGAAATAAATACAGTCTTGGTGAGCATTAGAGACTTCTTTCAAAAACATGAAAAAATCATTCACAATTTTGAGCACAGGTGTAATACATCTATGGGATTTTGCTCGTTTTATTGTATGCCAGGTAAAAATAAGTTTTGTACTGTAATAGCACATCTCTCATAAAGCTGCAGATCTGAAGCATCATCATGTAGTACATGGAATGAATTACACACCGCATTTTAATACTTAGGGTTGGTGGTTTAGTTTAAATGATTCTAATTGTCATCCTTGCCTTAGCAACAAAGCCCTGATCTCACTTTGTCTGAATTTGTTTTACTTTCTAAAGCCAAAAGGCCCGGTTTGTAATTGGATTTCAGCAGCTCATCCCGTTTGCTGTCTGGTCTGGGTGGGGTCTTGTCATTGTCATTGTTCTGGTAACAAGAGAGCTCCTCTGGTTTGTCTTTTCGAATGAGTTTTGCTGTGCCTAAATGGACCAGTTGGGAATCCTTTGATAGGATTTTATAGGACTGTCATAGTCTGCATACTTCCACAAGCACCCCTGACGAAGAGTTTTTTTTTTTTTTGCATGTTTGCGACTGTTAAACCGTGAACTAGTCACACATTCCATTCCATCCCACCTGTCCACTGTGGAATTAGGAAATTAGTATCAAGATTTGCTGTAATCCTCTTACTTGTGGATTCTGATTTGCTTTATGGGTTTGACTAGTGTCAGTGCTTTATGGTGACTTACCAGGGTGCAGACTGGAGAAAAATGTGCACAGATTAGTTGCACCACTTGTAGTGTGGACTGGTGTGGTTGCTTACTATTCAAACTCTCTGAAATGTGCCGTTCTTTTGAAATTTCTATTCATCAAAGAATCCTGAAAAAAAAGAATATCATTAAACTAAAATATTTAGCAGCACAACTGTTTTCAATACTGAAAATAATAAGAAATGTTAATTGAGCAGCAAATCAGCATATTGGAATGATTTCTGAAGGATCACTGAAGATTGGAGTAATGATGCTGAAAATTCAGCTTTGCATCAGGAATAAATTAAAACAGTTATTTTAAATTATAATAATATTTCACTGTTTAGCTGTATTTTTGCTGAAATAAATACAGTCTTGGTGAGCATTAGAGACTTCTTTCAAAAACATGAAAAAATCATTCACAATTTTGAGCACAGGTGTAATACATCTATGGGATTTTGCTCGTTTTATTGTATGCCAGGTAAAAATAAGTTTTGTACTGTAATAGCACATCTCTCATAAAGCTGCAGATCTGAAGCATCATCATGTAGTACATGGAATGAATTACACACCGCATTTTAATACTTAGGGTTGGTGGTTTAGTTTAAATGATTCTAATTGTCATCCTTGCCTTAGCAACAAAGCCCTGATCTCACTTTGTCTGAATTTGTTTTACTTTCTAAAGCCAAAAGGCCCGGTTTGTAATTGGATTTCAGCAGCTCATCCCGTTTGCTGTCTGGTCTGGGTGGGGTCTTGTCATTGTCATTGTTCTGGTAACAAGAGAGCTCCTCTGGTTTGTCTTTTCGAATGAGTTTTGCTGTGCCTAAATGGACCAGTTGGGAATCCTTTGATAGGATTTTATAGGACTGTCATAGTCTGCATACTTCCACAAGCACCCCTGACAAAGAGTAGCCTAGCTATAGACCCTTATTAGGCCATGATATACTCACAGCGAGTAAAAAGGGGTTTAACATACCTGAACAGTAATATACCAAGGTGCTCTGTCCAGTGGCGTTTTAAGCTGAGTAAGAAGTTTAAAAGGAACAGTTCACCCAAAAATGAAAATTTGCTGTTAATTTACTCACCCTCAGGCCATCCAAGATCTAGGTGACTAAAAATAAATGTTTTAGCTGAAACCATGGTCGTTGGTGATTCATTAAATGCAGGTCAGTTTGCCTGTTTTGAGAATTAAAAAAACCTTTTGTATCATCTAAAACTGTTTGTGGCTCGATCAGCACAGATCTACAAGTTACTCAAAACACACTTTTGGACGCCTGACAGTCACTCTGACTTGAAATTAGTCAAAATACCAGCGTTTATGATCCTATGACGCCAACAGTCCCCCGACAGTCACTGAACCGAGGAAACAGTTCAACTCTGACCAAAGACGATGAGTGGGTGAGGCGGTAAACTGAGCACTTGAACGAAGGCCGAAATTAATGTTTTTATAGTTTCTCATTGCTTATGTAAAAAGTTGAGCTGATGAAGACTAGTTAATCCAATTTATATGCTTTAGACATGCTTCATTATTGGGTGCTTTAGTAATATAATTGCGTATACATTACGTCATAACATGATAACGTAAAATAACTAGTGAATTAAACCCGTTCATTGAAAATAATTCAGAAAAGAATTGGACTTCCCTAATTGCCTGAGGCTCTGTAAATAATGTTCAGTTTCATGCACAGACTGATCATTTTGTTTCATAAGACTTCATTATATCGTCAGAAGCCACGGGTATTATTTTGTGTTTGTTGATATGCCTTTTTGATTCTCAAAAACGGGCAGCTGTTGACTTGCATTTTATGAATCATCAATTGTTTCAAACAATAATCTTCTTTACTGTTCTGCTGAAGAAAAAAAAAGCCACTGACATCCTGAATGGCCTGAGGATGAGTAAATTAACAGCAAATTTTCATTTTGGGTGAACTGTCCCTTTAATTCCAGAAGTTTCAATAAATGAATGTTCTTCGGGGTTTACACTTTTTGTTAATTTAGAAGATTTCCAGTGGTTTTAAACAGAATGAGCTAACTTTTCCAGAAAGTTAATTTTGGCAAGCTGTTTTGAACTTCGTTAGGGCCTGATTTTGTTCGAAATGCTGTCATAGTGCCTCTAGTTAGAGTAGATGCCATATTTGATTTGCCAGGCATGAATATGGGGCTGTGAGAGGTCCATTCAATAGCTTGTACTGTCTAAAAGCCTTAGTTCGAGTTTTGTGCATGCATGGCGTTAGGGCTGCACAATTAATCAAAATTAAATCGCAAAGGTGATAAATCGCGATTAGGCAGAAGCTGCGATTGTCATGCGTATCTTTCAGTGAAGCATGGTTCTGTGATCAGCAGTAAATCTCCATCCGAAGGCCAGAGGGCGCTCTCACGAGGAAACTCTAAATACACCCTGCAGAAGAAACCCAAGAAAATGCTTTTAGCAGTTGCTGAATAAACAGAAGATTTAACTGATTTCATTAATTCAACGTGACTAATAAATACACGACTACGACAATATATGGTTTATCTGAGTTTGTCTTATTATAATTTTTATTATAATAAAGCATTTAATAATGCAGTGCTAATCGACATAGCCTTTATCACTCTTCGCAAACAGCTTTCATAATCGCAGAATGATTTCTTCAATTTCATAATGGCGCGATTAAATCGTCTGCGAT